ATGGTCTTTTTAAAAGTTCTGGGAACAGATTTTCTTCTTGGAAATAATACTTTTTTAAAAAAGGTAAATTTTGGGCTGGGGATTTAGCTCAGCGGTTCCGCCGCCTGCCTTGCAAGCACAAGGACCAGAGTTCAATCCCTGGTACAAAAAAAAAAAAAAAAAAAAAAAAAAAAAAAAAAAAAAAAAAAAGTATAAAAAAAGGTATGTTTTCATTTTTATTATACACCAGAAGACTTATTGTGTTTCCACAGAAACCACACAGTAATTACCCTAAAACTGGGAGAAGAATGAAGTATTATAATTGTTTTCCCACATGAACTTTATGTAATGTATCACTTTTGTACTAGATAGAGGCACTTAGACCTCCATACACAGATCTCTTGTGTGTTCCCTACATTTCACTTTTAGAATTTATTATGAGTTTTGTGGAGGCTACGAGATCAAGAAGCCTTCTTCCTTAGTCAGCCTAGTTATCATCCACCCCCCTCGTCCCTCCAGGCTAAGAACTTCAGACTGACTGTTATTAAAGTTGATCTGAAAGAGCAAACTGTTCTAAACGACTGTCCCTGGATCTGCCACGGAACCCTGTAAACACCCTTCATTACTCTGGCGGGGCAGGATCACATTTCCTTCGTGCTACTTTTGTGGCTGACACAGTTAGTCAGTGAGACTTGGACTTTAGATGATTCTGGTTGATTGATGTAGCAACGGTGGCTTTCCAGAGACAGGTAATTACAATTTTACCTTTCAGGATCATGTTTTTACATTGGTGTTCTGTTTACATTTGTTTTTGTTTTTGTTTTTTTCAATGTTTTTAATTTAAAAAACTAAGTCGTTTTTGAACTTATAGTTTTTAAATGTCTTTAGTTTCCCCAGGCAAGCATTTTCAAGACTGTTTCAGTTGAAAGAAATTTCTTAAAACTGTCATTTTATTTCTCCATTGTATCATGGGGTTTGTATAAAACCCTCTATGATCTTATCTATTGCTGTGGACTTGTCTCTGGTGTGAAATTTTTTTTCTTGTTGCAAACGGTTAGGAAACACATGTCTTAGTCTTCAAAGTAAGTAAGACATAAAGATTTGGTTTTGTTTTTTCATCTGACACTGGAGGAGGATACCTGAAAATAAATCTATGTACTAGTACTTCAAGCAAAACTTACTGAAACTTTGGTATATGTGAGCAATTTCTTGTAGAGAATTGAAGCCTATGACAAATATGGAAAATACAACAAATATGAAAATTTTATACAAATCTACGTGTTTATCTTCCAAGTGAAGACTTCCAAGTGAAGATTCCTTGGCATTCCTGTGAATCATCCCAACGTGAGTAAATTGTTTCTGTAGCTGAGTGACTGGTTAAGAAAACAGCTGAAGCCAAGCACAGGATCATGTTCAAACCACAATAAACACATGTGGTAGATGGGTTACTCAGCTTTGTGGGGAAGGCTTAAAACACATAACTGTGTTTGCTTGTCCTTAATGAAGCCTGTTTTTAACTATGTTGGGCATTTAAAAGTTTTAAAGGTTATTCTTTGTACCAATAAACTCTAAGAAAATCTAAACTAGTAGGTTTATGATATAATATTTGTATAATTATTATGGTGATAAGAAAGGTAGGAACTGGCTTATATGGGAGCAGAAACTATTTTTAAAAACTAAAATCGAGACCATGGGTTGGTTGTATTGTAAACAACGTGCTCACAATTGCTGAAAAATACTTATTTTAAATATTTACATGGAGCTTTTTTGGGACGATCTCAAAAAATGTTGGATGTTATTTGTCTTTGGAAAGACGACAGTAAAAATGGAAAGAGAAGTCAGAATGTCCTTGCCGTCTTTCTTCTGTAACTCTTCTTTCTCATTTTAAGCCTATAATCTGATTGCCAGACCAACGCTGTTCTTTTTATTGCACTGACTTATTTATTTTGGTTATTAGTATATGTTTGCAATGTATGATCATGACGTTCGTCTTGAGGGACACGGTCGGTATCCAAATCATATCTCGATCCTTTTTACTTGCCCTTCCTCTTCCACCCACCCATCTCTTCCTATCCCCACCTCCCCTTCCTGTCGCCACACAGTCTACCTCCCTGTTTCTTATCATCTGTCTTTTATTTTGCTCTTTATTTATATTTTGGGCTTTTCCTATAAGAGAAACCGTGTGATATGTAACCTTCTGTGTCTGAGTTATTTCACTTAGCATTATGGTCTGAAGGTGCATCCATTTTCCTACAAATTACTCACATTTATCCTTCTTGTTCTACCTGTTTTGGTGTGGGTCTCCTTTAACCTCAGTGTTTCACACCTGAGTAAAAGGCAGGATACCAGAACTGTCATGGCAACATGCAGGGAAGTAAAACTGTGTTATTTTTATGGTGTATGTAAGCACTTCCCTTTTTAAAAATCAATTTGTAGCATGCCTATTAGCTACCTGAAATAGAAGTTCTACTTTTCTATGTTCCCAAGGATCTTTCAACATTGATACTGATTATGGTTTAAGATTTGAGTGGAACAGTGAAGGAAGATCATGTATGTATGTATGTATGTATGTATTCATTCTCAGGGTTGGACCAGGCTGTTGCACATGCCAGACGAGCACTATATCACTAGGCTTCCCCCAAGCCCAAGACCTTCTTTTTAAATTAAAAAAAATTGTCAGAGAATCCATATAAATAGAAAGTATGGGGACAAAATTTTGTAGCTGGACATTCATATCAGCACAGGATTAAGTAAGACAGCAACTGAACCTGTATGTTGAAGATACAAATGACTTTGGTAATGAGAATAACCTATCCCTGTAAGTCAGCCCCTCCTCATATCTTTTTCCTTCTTTCATAATTGTTTTTGTTTTGTTTTCATTTTTTTGCTTTGATCATCCTGCCTCAGCCACCCTTGTGCTGGGATTACAGATATACATCACACCCAGCTAGTCATAGTCCTTTTTACCTGAATTATTTTAAAGTTTTACTCAGTTCTTTTTTCATTGTTGTTCTTGGTTTTGCCTGTGTAAGTGTAAAACCTTATAACAAAGGTGTAGTGAAACCTCTGATGTAATCACAATAAAGATATTTTAACTCTATTCAATATTTATGAAGCTGGGTGTGGTGGCACACACCTTTAATCCCAGCACTCGGGAGGCTGAGAGAGGAGGATCGCTGTGACTTGGAGACCAGCCTGGGCTACATAGTGAGTTCCAGGTCAGTCTCAACTACATAGTGAGACCCTGTCTCAAAAAAATAAAACAAAACAAAAATATATATATATTTATGAATAATTTGAAGATAAAGATAGTTTAGTAAATTCTATAAAGTCAGGGAAAAGTGTGGTTTTTTTGTTTGTTTGTTTTGTTTTTGTTTTTTGGGTTTGTTTGGGTTTTTTTTTAGTTGCACTGCTTTATATCCTGGTACATCATAAGTAAATACTTGTGGAATTAATGAATAGGAAGAAAATCTATAAGCAATTGTATAATTTAATTATAAAGCTAGATTAAAACTAATGTATTTCATGCTAAAAAGATCTAAATAATTCTTTAAAAAAATAATCACTGGCAGTCTGGGGATGTAACTCAATAGTGGAATGCTTGTCTAGCATACACAAAGCCCTGGTTTTAATTCCCAGTATTGAAAAATAATCATAATAGCAATTATAATCATTGGCTTTATAAGACTGAATTTTCAAAACCGACGCTTCAAACAAGATTGGTAATATTATAACATCACTTAGTCTGTATTAATCAATGGGGCTAAATTCTTTTTCAAATTCATATTCCAAACCAGGCATGGTGGTGCACGCCTGTAATCCTAGCACTCGGGTGGCTGAGGCAGGAGGGTAACCATGAGTCCGAGGCCAGCCTGGGCTACACAGTGAATTCAGGACCCACCTGAACCACAAGGGGAGTCCCTGCCTCAGAATAACAAAACAAAACAAAAAAATTCATATTCCAAAAATGTATAAAATTAATATCAAAGAAACTACATCTTTTTAAAGTAACTATTTGAACCAAGCATGGTGGTGCTGCACACCTATAATCCCAGCACTCTGGTAGCTGAGGCAAGAGGGTCGCCATGAATTCAAGGCCAGCTGGACTACTATGTAATGAGTTCAAGGCCTGCCTGAACTACATAGTGAGACTCTGTCTCAACAACAAACAAACAAACACCAAAAAACCAAAGTTATTATTTGAGCAGATGTTGGTCTATTAAGAATCTTTTTTCTTACTTATTGGTAGCACTGACTTTTTCAAAATAATACACAAAAAATTGTATCCAGGTAGCAACACATAAGTAAGAGTTATAATGTTCTATGTAATATAGTCCTCTTGATCTTTAATCAATATCCAATTTTTTTATTCTGAAGTTTGTTCAAACTAATTTGTTCCTGAATTTATCTTCATATCAATGATTTTATTATCTTTTTTCTTTGTGATCTCTAATTAACTATTAATATTAGGTATCTTCTCTACTTTTGCTTTGCCTTTGGATGAACACTTCTAAAAACCCTGAGCTTTAAAAACATTAGACCTCTGGTTTTTCATGGCCACATTTTCTCATTGATCAAAATTAAGGATCTTTTAAAAATCAATAATTTTGATACATTTTTAAAAGCATGCTATTTTCTTTGACAGATGAAATGTGATGTAATGTGTTTAGTATTCGTGCTGAACGTCTATCAGTAACACCTTGGGCCTCCAGCTATAAGGTGAAATTCTATAGGCAGGAAAAACGGCTGACCCCTCACTCCATATAGGTGCCGTCCTGCTATGGAATCTCTTTGCTCAGTCTTCTCCATCCAATCAGGTGGAATGTTTCACAGGCACATGGTTTATACAGCTCAAAATAACTTGGGACCTGTGAGCTGACAAATGCTCTGGCTCCGGTGCTGACAGGTTGGCCAGCTTCTTCCAGCCATCTTCACTAAAACTGAGGTTAACTCCTCACTCTCTATGGACGGCTGCTCTCTACTTCCAAGGGCGTGAAGAATTTTCCCTTTCTCCTGGGCTTTCATCCGAAAGTTCTCCTTGGATAATTATCGTCGCAGTGGAGTTCCTGGTTTGGACATCCTCATCTGGGTCAACTAAAAAAAGAAAGGTAATTTCCAGATTTAAATTCACGAGTGTGTTTCGATAACAGGCCACTGACAATGGGAAAAGAGCTATTTCAGAGAGCTAATTACTGTTACTTAGAGTGAAACTTAGGATAACTTTCTAATTATGGATGATGCGACCCACAATTTAATGAAAAATAAAGCTTTCTATGTGGGAAGCTTTCGGAGAGGATTGGTGAGATTCACAGAAATTATAGCCAAGGGAAGTTGTGATGTGTTGCAAATATCATTGGTGTTTTCCACATGTTCATTTATTAAAATGAGGTTTTTATAGAGAGAATATAAATGCAATGCTACTTCCTTTTTAAAGGAAATCAAATCTAAAATAATGTGCCTCCATAGTTAAAGAGTTTCATTTAAAATTTTTTTATCATGTAAAAGGATATGCCTGCTATATTTAGTATTGGGAGATCTGCTCCCTGGATTAATGTACACAACAGCTGCAGAAAGTCTTGCTCAAGGGACATTGCTCTCTCTTTCTCCTTTCTCTCCCTTTCCCTCTCTCCCTCTCTCTCTCTTTCTCTCTCTCTCTCTCTTTCCATCAGAAAGACACTTGACAGTCAGTGGCAAACGTTTGGCCTGGTTCATTGCACTACTAGCAGTAATTAGATACACATCTTGAATAACATTTTAAAAACTATATAAGCAAAGAAAAAGGCAGATTACTTTGTATTTCCAGTCCCCAAATATGAACATTATAATAATGGTGTTAAGAAATCGGTATCACTTTATCAACAGATTTTTTACGGTTATCAAAGATATCAGCATTACTGCGTTGAAAGATAAATCAGCTATCTAGTTTTCTTTTCCAAAACATGACAAAGATGATTCAATTATTTTTACTGTAGTATAATGAAATGAATTCTACAGGCTCTAAATTAAAACTTTGGGGTAACTTTATAGTTTCTCAATAATAACTCAAGTTCACATAAAATCTAAGAAATCAAGAATGTCCATATTTACCACTATAATAAAAATTTTAAAACAAAAATCAAGATATACTATTTGGGAAATCTGAACTATAAGGACACTATACTTGCAGAAGTGTTGAGAGATCAAATTATAGGCATTACAAATCTTATAATAATGGACTATGAAACAAACAACTGGACACTATCCAAATTCTGGAAGGTTGTCTGGGTCCCTACTTATAGTATATAGCTAACGCCACTGGAACTCACAATAATGTGAAAACCCCCCCATTCCACACAACTGTCCTTTATAATACAGATCCTGTTATGTGTTTCTATTACAATGAGTTTACATTCGCTCAGTGGAACAAACTCAGAGTTGCAATTCATGAATACAAGACATTTAATGAGTGTTTAATCCATACTGGTTTTGGAATATAGCAAGATACTTTCTGCACATTTACTTTTGAAGAAATGGGATGGCAGGTAAAGCAGGTTCTATTTTGAAAAGGCTTTAATGAGCTAATGTTAATATATGAACAGATGACAGCTCAATTTTTCAATAGCTAATTCCTGTCCATAATAGAAATAATGGACTCCATTTGCTAACCTGGTAATATAAGAAAATTGGTCCTGCTAACCTCAGAAGAAATAATTTCCTTCATTCACACTGATATCTGGCAAAGGCATTGCCAGTATCATGATGCTATTGCCTACGACAAGACAGAAAAATGAAAGGGTTTGTTTCACAACTCTTTCCCTTTCCTAGGAGGTGAAAAAATAATCAAGTACCACAGAAATATTGTTATAAATTTCTAAGGTGCTTCATAGTTGACAAAGAGCTTTGTTTTTGTTTTGTTTTGCTTGAAACAGAATCTCACTATGTAGTTCAGGCTGGCCTTGAAATCGCTATGTAGCCAAGCCAAGCCTCGAACTTGTGGCAGTCCTCTTGCCTCTGCTTCCTGAGTGCTGGAATTATAGGCATGCACCATCACACCCAGCTAAAGTGTTTTAAAAACAAATACAGCATTGCATATTTGCTTAAAGGGAACAACCTAAATATAGACAGAATGGTTTGTTTTGAAATTTATGAACATATTTCAAGAAGATATATTTTTGGTGGAAACAAAGTTGGTATAACTCCTTACCTGCAATCACTGGGGCCCTCAGAGTTCGTGCACAACCAGTGTCACCTTGACCAGCTCTGCACAGGCCACACTCAGAGAGGCACCTACAAAGCCTTCCGACTGAGCACCTGAACTAGGACTAGCTCTTTCAACCCCAGGCTTAACTGGAGGATCTGTCTTCTCTCAATCTAGCAAACATGTCGTTTTAAATAGGGAAACTACCTTTTATTAATCCTCAACTACCTAAAATTAAAAATTGGCAAATAAGAGGCTGAAAGAAGAATGAAAGTGTTGCATTCTTTTTTCTTATTTAAAAAAGTAAATCTTTGAGTTAATGATATTTGACAAAACTTTCTCATTTGGGATTTCCTAAATCCTGAAGAGAAACTGAACTGAACAGAAGCTCAGTTCTTCATGAATGGTGAGATCTTTAGAGAGCTGTAACACTTCCCATGCCTGTCATTTTCGTGACTACCACCAACCCCTGATACTTTTTTTTTTCCTTTTTTAGGAGGTGGTGGCGATGGGCAGCACTGACCTATATCCCCCACTACAACCCCATTTTGATCCTAGATTCCTGAAATCATTTGCTTGCCTTCCATTACCTTTTCTATGGCCCTAGGATTTACTTATATTATTTATTTACTGCTAATTCAGATTCAATAGCAACTTTGGGCTCTGGTTTAAGTATCTTTTCCACTAGGGCTTTCCTACATATTTATCCCCTTCTGTATACAAAAACATTCACACTGAAACTGGAAGTACAGCTCAGTGATAGAGCTTGTCTAGCACGCGCAAGGCCTTCTGTGTGATTCCCAATTCTGGAAAAAACAAACAAACAAATACCAACCCCAAGCCCCATGCATACCATATTTCATAGTAGCCAATCTTCTTTTTTCTCACTTCAATAAAACCTTTAATTTCTTTCTTACCTTCTCACCTTTACTAGCTTGACTAAAACAGCAAGAATGGCCCACTCATTTTTTACCTATATTCTCTAAAGTCTTTTCATTCCTTTAACCTCTGCCCTTTAGGGAAGGTCTCTGGAGAATTGAGCCCCACTGATTCTCCTACGTGTCATCTGGCCGATGCCACTTTGTTTTACCACACTCTTCCAATGAATTCATCTGTTTTTCCTTTGAATTTGCTGTTTTTCCTTCAAACTGAAAGACCTTCAACAGAATGTGTCTTACATTATTTCTCTATCATTATTGGCATACCATTTCCACATACCTCAAGCTCTGACAGCATATACTAATTTATTAAATTACTAATGCTATTCACACCGAAAATAGACTACAACTAAAACTAAAACAACCACTGTCACAGTGAAGAGATGGGCATCATAATAGTGTACAAAGGACATCCCAGCAGCAGCCACATTTTCAGATGACCTGTTATGCAACTCTCCAAAACTGCTTCCTGTGAAATGGGATTTGGTCCTTGGCCCAGCAAGAGTTTCCCCAGAACTGACTTAAATGTTGGCCTTGTGTGACGTCAGGAGAAACAGAAGACAAAACAAACAGGTCAATACCAGCATCAAAGAGAAGGAGCAAAGTTGAATAGTTTTTTTATTACTCCCTTAGAGAAAGTTCTAGCAGAACACACCAGCAGAAAGGGATTATCCTAAATTTGCAGAGTGCTTTACCTTTTAAAAGTGCTTACATAAATGTAAGAAGCAAGCAGGGTGGTTCTGCTCATCCCAGGTCTGAGCTACTTACTCAAACTTTTTTCCTGGCTGTCTTCACAAATCATTTTTAAATATAGGCTATTTTGTGTTGGCTTGGAAACTAGGTTTGGATTTGTAGGAGTTTGTTTATGTACATAATGAATGTAAAGCAATATTTAAAGACAAAAGTATAAAAGATTTTTTTGGCTTAAAATTTAATTGACAGATAAAAACTCTGTGTGTGTGTATATCTATATATATGATATAGAACATGTTTGATGTATGTGTACATGTGCAATAATGAAAGCAAGCTAATTAATAGATCCATTATCTCACATTTATTTGTGATAAGAACATTTAAGATCTACTTTTAGCAATTTTCAAGTACACATTGCATTATTATTAGCTGTAGTCACTGTGCTATACAACAGATCTCCAGAATTTATTTCTTCTAACTGAAACTTTGCACTCTTTAACCAATATTTCCACACCCCTACCTCCAGGTGTCTTTGCCCATTTAAATATCTAATGATACTTCACAAACTTAACACATGCAAAGTCCTGGGTTCAATCCTCAGCACTGTGATGACAATGATAATAATAAATATCTAATGATACTTCACAGTCAAAATATTTCAGGATTTATGTTTGAATTCAAGTTACTTCGTATCAAGTTTTGTCTATTCTCTCTAGCCAATGCCCCAATTTAGTCATATTATAACTAGAAGATGAGTTTATCCCATACGATATTTCCAACAAAAAAGACTTTTTAATCACTTCTTGGCCTTTTGGCTAAGATCAAGTGTAAAAGAGCCTTATTAGAGCCTTAAAAAAGTGTAGTGCTGAGTTGATATATGATTGAGAAATATGTTCAAAGGTTTTAGCAGCAAGGTTTCTTTTTATGAAAAGAAGCAAACCAAAACCAAAACCAGGTTCTTAGGGCAGATACTCTCTTCAGGAAAAATCCTAGGGGAAAAAGTGGAGAGAACCAATCCCACATTAACTGTTGTATTACCAACCCGGTACCATATCACCAGAACCCTGATCTGTTCTCAAGGTCAATTACTCATTCTTTTTTTGAAAGTGGCTTCATAAGGGACAGAAACGCAGAACAAGGTCAGATGTCACCGTGAAAGCCCCCGATGAACATCTGTGCACGCAGGGCCTCACTTCCTGCACCTGGCTTCAGCCTCGTGGAAGTCAGAGTTAGGTCAGGCAGCAGCTCAGGCCATGAATGTTGGAGTCGCCTGACTCTGCTTCCTCCCATATCCCACTTTCAATCTATTGAAGAATCATTTGGCTCCGCTCTCAGAAAATATCTCAGTATATCCTTCTCACCACCTCCCATTGCTACCACCCAATGGGCCCACCACCAAGTGCCTTGCGATGGCTTCCGGAGTGGTCTGCTCTCTTCCACACTCGCGCCTTTAGGCTTGGTTTTTCTGCGTAGCAGCCATGATTCACTTTTTCAGAATGATGCCATCATGTATTTGAATCTCAATTATCTTCAGCTATCAAACAGGATAATGATTCTATTTAAGAAGTTTCTAGGGCTGGGGATTTTTAGTTCAACGGTTCTACCTCCTACCTTGCAAGCACAAGGTCCCAAGTTTGATCCCCAATACCAAAAAAAATAGAAGGTTCTCAGATGACAATGCATATATAAGTTGTTAAACTGATAAACATGAGCTAAAATAGGAGATAAGATGCATCAGTCCCAAGCATTAGTTTAAAACTTTCTCCTTTAAGTACTCATTTAAAACTACTTGTATAAAATGTGTACCTTTAAAAAGTCCAAGTGTTATTCTGGATAGCCTAGCTTTCATTCCTTTATCTAATAATAATAATTATTATTATTATATATTTTTTGGTGCTGGGGCTCAAACCCAGGGTCTCAACACGTACTAAGCACCTAAGTGCTTTACCACTTATTCCCATTCCTAATTCTCATGCAATAGGTATTTATCGAGCAGCTTTTGTGTACCAAGACCCATTGTGGTACTGTGGATTCAGAGGTGAACAGAAAAGAAACTGTTTTCTTTGAGCTGAGATTCTAGTTGCAGAGAGACTAAGTTTTTTGACTGTCTACTAAGTACCAAGCACATGTAATTACCATTTAACCTATGAACTGGCTACTGATATTAGTCTTGCTTGACAGATGAGGAAACCGGGGTTCACAGAAGTTCACAGAATCTACTTCAAGATTATGTAGCCTAGAAGCGTCAGAAGTAAGAGTTGAGCCAGTTCTAACGCCAAAATGCTAAGTCATAAAACATTAAAACACTGAAGTTGTCCTATATTTTGAATGCTTGAAATTTTTGTTATCGTAATAATTTCTCATAAACATAAGAACGTAAGGCACATACTGACACCTCAAATGGCTTCTCTAAAAAAGGGTAGACTGTAGTAATCAATGATGAATTTTCACTTTTATGTTTCTACCATCACAAAGTTTTTGGAGAAACTCTTCAATATTAACATCATCTTCACCGAAGTGGTTTTTTGTTGTTGTTTGTTTTCTGTAGACTGGGGATTGAACCCAGGACCTCACGTGTGCTAAACAAGTGCTCTGTCTTTGAGCTACACATTCAACCCTTGGTACTGTTTTTGCAATTGTATCCGTTGAGCACCCATTTTAGTCACAGGTCTTCGTTTTATGGGTGGTTTGTTGGTTGTTGTTATTGTTTATTCATTTGTATTTATTTTGAGACAGTCTTGTTAAATTTCCCAGCTATTCTCTAACTTAGAATCTTCCAGCCTCATCCTTCTGAGTAGCTAGGACTCTAGACCTGAACTGCCATACGTGCCAACAGGCTCTGTTTTAGGGTCTTTGCCTTTGTGATGTTTTTAATCCTTACTCTCTTAAAAAATAGATATTATCCACAAGGAAACCAAAGCTCAGAAAAGTTAAATAAATTTTACAGTCATTCCACTAGTATGAGATGAAGCCAGAATGTGAAATCAGATCTATGTAGTTCCAAGGCCAATGCTTATTCCATGTTGCCTCAAGCTATAAGCTGTCATCCAATAACTAAAGAGAATGTCACATTACAGCATGATTTTCAGTAAAATACAACTTGCTGAAAGCCACCCTAATTTATAAGGCACTTAATTTTCATGCCCACATTTAAATTGCTGTAGAGATCCAAATTAGGCTGAAGAAATGATTGATTTAAAAATGAAAACAGGACCAGGGATTTAACTCAGTGGTTCTGCCGCCTGCTTTGTAAGCACAAGTTCCCAAGTTTGATCCCTGGTATCAAAAAAAAAAAAAAAAAAAAAAAAAAAAAAAAAAGATATAGTGAGTATAACAAATTAGTGTATTAATTACCCTTTTAAATAACATTTTGGAGTTTTTTGTTTTGTTTTGTTGATACAAGCAGGGTCTTACTATGTAGTCCAGTCTGGACCTTGAATTTATGACACTCCTCCTGCCTCAGCCTCCCCCGTGAGGGGATTACAGGTGTGCACCACCACACTTGGCCCTTAAATAGCATTTTGGACCTTATTTCATGTTTCTGTTCTTCTACATAGTTGATGTATCAAAGAGAAAATGTTTCAATTGGGATATCAATATGTGTATTACTTGCCATTCTACAAAACTTTAAATAGCCATTTAGTACTAGTCAATGAATGTATCATAATTTAACTAGCTAATTTCTTTTGGACATAGTTCCAGTTTTTAACATTACAATTTATAATATGATAAACATCTTTGGACATAAAGCTTTGCCCTCATCCAACACCTGTGCGTTTTAAGTGACTCTGTTTTAAAGGCACAACAGACTTCATCCAAATTAGTGGCTCAGGCAGGGACAATCTCAGGCCCTGACAAACATGTGGGAAAACATTTTGCTGTAAGTGATCCTTTCGGCCATCTCTAATTGCCCTCTCAAGGTGACTGTCCACTGTGCCAGCTGAGGGGTTAGTTTGGGATAGCCCTGTAGAAGTTTAAAATTAGGGTAGTTTCTAGGAAACCTTACATTTGAAATAGGTTAGGCTGTCATGTGAGGGAACAGAGATGAATGAAGTAGGTTTTGCCATAGAATCTTAAAGCAGGCAGACACTTAGATTACTTTCCTTGCCATCTTCCTAACACAGTAACAAAGAACGGCAAACAGTCTCCGCGTCACCATTACCACCTGTGACTGACTGGCTGAGGGAGTGGAGGCTTAAGCAATTCAAGGTCAATGCAAGAATGCTTCAGTCAGTGAGCTGCATCTATTAAGGAAAATTAACAGATGATGTGTCACGAGTTTGCCATCCCCTGGAAAAATGTTTGAATGAATAATGGGCATGAGATTCATAACACAAAAATCGATTTGCATTATTGTACTTGTTGTCTTAGAATTTTAAAAACCTATTTTTTTTACAGGCAGTATATATTTAAAATTCAAAAGTTAGAAAGGGTGCTCAGGGAAAAGTCTCCTGCCAGCATCACATTCCACTACCCACCCAGTTCTTCCCTTTACCCTTTCTAAAAAGCTGAGGCTCTAAGCTTCTCTCGTAACCTTCTATCAAGAGACCAAATCAGCAGAGTTTTCAAAAGCAGGTTAAGCACAATAGCGACACTGATCTGAACAGCTTGTCTCAGTCAAAAAACATAAACATTATTATTTTTCATGGGCTAATCAAATCTTTATTTGGAGTAGCTATTGTGTTGTCAGTATTTCTTACTTTTCTATAATTTTATCACAGACACATTTAAGAGGAAAGGGTAGAGAGCAAATCTCTGTTTGCATATGAAAGCATTTTGCAATCAAAAATGCCATTACAGATATGATCAAAATTATGCTTAGCCTTTTTTTTTTTTTTTTCTTTTCTGGGGCTGAGGATTGAAATCAGGGCCTCATGCACGCTAAGCAAGTTCTCTATCACTGAGCTGCCCTGCCTTGCTCAACAGTGTTTTCAGTAAATCACTACAGTTATACCATAGCTTTCACAGCTGAACTTGCATTTAAAGAATTTAATAAAATAGTAACTGCTCATGTGCTGGGGATTTAGCTCAGTGGTTCTGCGGGCTGCCCCCCTTCCCCCCGCCTCACAAGCACAAGGTCCCAAGTTTGACGCCCAGTACCAAAAAACAAAAAAATAGCAATTACTCAACTTTTATATTCAATTTCAGGGCAACTTCACTCAGATCATAGTTATAATTGGAGAGTAATCATTAAGTCTTTATAGTAAATTTGATGAAAGTGTCAAAGTGAGGCAGTTTTGTATTTGGGCTCTAAGTTCTCAAAATTGATCACGCTATAGTTAATCCAGATTTATTGCCAGGCACGGTGGCACACGCCTGTAATTCCAGCACTTGTGATGCTGAAGCTGGAGTATTGCTGCAAGCACAAGGCCTGCCTGGGTCACGTAAGGAGTTCAAGGCCAGCCTGGGCTATATAGCCAGACCTTGTCTCAAAAAAAAATTAATTAAAAATACAGGTTAGTTATTCCCTAGAAATAATCCGAAGCCTTTATTATTATTTTGTTACAGCATGCAAGACGACAGCCTAGAAGCTTCTACTTCTATATCCCAACTGCTAAGAGAAAGCTACCTAGCGGAAACCAGGCATCGCGGAAACAATGAGAGGAGCCGAGCCGAGCCCTCCTGCAGCCCCTTTCTTTTCGGCGGTCCTTCGGGGGCTGCTGAAGGAGGCGGCCAAGACGACCTTCCGGATCTGTCGGCCTTTCTGAGCCAAGAGGAGCTGGACGAAAGCGTCAATCTGGCGAGACTGGCCATCAACCACGACCCCTCGGAGAGAGCAGATGAAGCTCAGGCTAGGAAACGGCTGTCTTCGGAGCAGATGAAGACCGCGCCCAACTTCTGCGAAGAGAGCCTCGCCAGTACCCCCAGCCCTCGGGAGAGCGCCCAGCAGGCAAAACGGCCGCAGTACAGCTCTGAAACCCAGTCCAAAAAAGTATTCCTGAATAAGGCTGCTGACTTCATAGAAGAGCTCTCCTCTCTTTTCAAGGCCCACAGCTCCAAAAGGATCAGACCTCGTGCCTGCAAAAACCACAAGAGCAAACTGGAATCTCAGAACAGAACTGTACAGGAGAACAGCCCCAGTTTCTCAGATCTGTCAGAGAGGCGGGAGAGATCTGTCCCCATTCCCATCCCGGCTGACACCAGGGATAACGAGGTGAACCACGCCCTTGAGCAGCAGGAAGCCAAGAGGCGTGAGGCTGAGGAGGCCCCCAAAGAGGCAGGTGGTGGGGACACCACCCCAGGGTCCTCACCTTCCTCTCTGTACTATGAAGAACCTCTGGGGCAACCTCCCCGCTTCACCCAAAAGTTACGGAGCAGAGAAGTTCCCGAAGGAACCCGAGTCCAGTTGGATTGCATAGTGGTAGGAATCCCACCACCTCAAGTAAGGTAAAAGTGTCCTATTAATAGTGTTTAGCAGTTGCTTTCCATGGACCATGGCTTTCCTGTTACCTTTAAGTATGGGACTCCAAAACATACACTTCCAGACAGGTGTGTGGGGGTAACTGTAATCCCAGCACTCAGGAGGCAGAGGCAGGAGGATTGCCATGAGTTCAAGGCCAGCCTGGGCCACAGAGTGAGTTCAAGGTCAGCCTGAATTGTGCAGTGAGATCTTTTCTTAAAAGACAGAGAGAAAGAGAAAGAGAGAGAGAGAGAGAGAGAGAGAGAGAGAGAGAGAGAGAGAGGCTGGCGATGTAGTATGATGTAGTACAGTGCCAAGATTCAATCCCCAGTACTATAAAAATTATATACCCGCTTTGAGAAAAACAACCAGTTTCTAAAGCCACTCTGTTGAATAGAATTATAATATTAGCTATGTATGTAATTTAAATTTTTCTAGGGCTGAAAGTCTTTATGAGGTCCCAAATTCAATCCCCAGCACGAAAATACATTTTTAAAAGATGTTCTAGTAGCCACTGTTTTTGTGTGTGCAGTATTAGGGGGTGAACACGGGACCTTTGCACTGAGCTACATCCCCAGGCCTGTTCTTATTTTTTATTTTGAGACGGGGATTCATTGAGTGATTTTGTTGCCCAGTCTGGGCTCAAACTTGTGGTCCTCCTGCCTCTGTCTCCCAGAGTACTGGGATTACAGATGTGCGCCACCACACTTGGTGCCATATTTTTAAAAAGTAAAAAAGAACTAGGTGACACTAAGATTGATAACATATGTACTGAGTCAGGATACAAACATATTTTAATATGTAATTAATATAATAATTATTAATAAGATATTTTGCATTCTATTCATTATACTAGGGATTCAGAAAATAACATCAACTCTACACTTACAACAAATCTCAATTTGGATGCTAAATTTTCCCAGGAATAACTTACTGTGCCTTTAAGATCTGTACTCAGTGCATTCCTGTGGTATTTTTTGACTCTTAAAGAAAGCTAAGGGCATGGGGATTTAGCTCAGTGTTTCCACCGCCTGCCTCACAAGCGCAAGGACCAGAGTTCAATCCCCAGTGCCAAAAAAAGAAAAAAGAAACAAAAAAGAAAGCTAAGTAACAGTACAAAGGCTGATAGGATAAAAATAGAAAATAGAATACCCATGAAGGCATGGCTAAGGCCAATTTACAGACCCATTTACCCATATTCAATTCATTCTAAACTTTCAATTATCAGCTTAATGAACCCTCCTGTCCCTAATTCCCAAGCCTTTCCACAGTGTTACCAAGGAGTAGAGGGTATTGTTCATCTGTTAGACGCCTTCCAGGGCCAGCTTTTCTTTCAGGCCAATGGAATGAACTTCAGGGCTCTCAATTTGCCTGGACAACACCTACTTTTGTGTTCTAATTTTACTTTATACATTGTAAGTGTCCTTTCCACATTTATAGTTCCACACAGCCTGGAACCAGCTTTAGCCAGGGTGACATTTGCTAACTCTAATATTATAATTTGATAACATGTGAATAATGTGGTTTGTATGTATTCCTTTGTAGACATTGCTAGTATTTAAAGTCCCTGTGCTTCCCTAACCACTTAATTACCACTAGAATGTGACTTTGTTACCACTTAACTTTTTTTCTCAGTGTATAAACAGGGTCTCATCTTTTTCTTACATAATAGTCATATTATAGGACAATAAGTCAGGCATCATGGCACACACCTGTAATCCCAGCACTCAGGAGGCTGAGGCAGGAGGATCGTTACAAGTTCAAGGCCAGCTTGGGCCACAGAGAGAGTTTAAGGCCAGCCACGAATACATTACAAGACTCTGTCTCAAAAAAACAACAAAAAGTCAAACTTTGGATAATAACAGTATTAATATTAATAATGGCACTTTAATTTATATATGTACATTAAGACAAGAGAATCTGGCCCAAAGACAAAGTTTTATTTTGTGTTTTACTCTCAAAGTCAACGCGAGGTGACTCAGGCATAGTGACACACACTTGTAATGCCAGCACTTGGGATACTGAGGCAAGAGGATTGTCTTGGGTTTGAGGCCAGCCTGAGCTACACAACAACATTCTTTTTCAAAAAACAAAACAAACAATTTTTAAAAAGCAACAAAAGGCATATCAAATAGTAGTCACACAATGACATAGAGATTTCACTGTCAAGCTATTCCTTAAAGACAGAGATGTGTTGTTTTTGCCTTTAAATTTTGAGTAGCCAGCACAGCTTCTGGCCATAATGGTCACTTAGAAATGTCGAACTAATGAATAAAGAAACCGGCACAGAAAGCTATACTTGCAGGAGTCCCTGCTGTAGCGCAGCACTGGGGAAGTTTCTCTAACGCGAAGAGTACCAGAAGCCATAAGGATACACAGCCTCCTCCCCAGGAGTGAAGATACCCTGTTGCAGCTGCCCTTTGTCTCTGATGGTTGTCTTTTCCCTTTGAGAGAGTAAGAAGCTGGTGGGGGGCACTGTCTGGGTGCTGTTGTTGTTTAAAAGAAGCAACAGGAAAACAAAAACTTCAATTTAGATTTAAGTCAGGAGCAAAACAGTTGGCCTAAGATGTGGGAACGGGCTGGAACCAAGCACACAGGGCAGTGTTTGTCCTTCTTTGAACCCTCCTGATGGTACTTGCTGGGACTCCATCCATGAGGTGTCACTCCGGCAGCACAACAGATGCCACCCTGCAGCATCTGGTCAGCCTAAGGAAGCCAGGGAGCACTCAAGATGTCACACACATACCACGTAGGTTAGTCCTGCCCCCACCCACTTGTTTCTGGACATAGACTGGTTTAAAAACCAAAACAAAACCCCCCAGACCATTCAAGGACTGGTCTCAACCATGACAATCTCAGATATAACAGTGAATTCAAGCTGGGCGTGATGGCGTGAATCTGCAATCCCCGCACTCAGAAGGCAGAGGTAGGAGGTAGGAGGATTGTGAATTGTAAGTTCAAGGCCAGCCTGAACTACATAGCAAGACGCTCTCTCAAAAACAAAACAAAACAAAATTTTAAAACTATAATTTTACAGGTAGGCTAGTGTCATTATTTTCCAAAGCATAGAATGTATGTGTCTCTAATCAGAAAGCAAATATTAATTTAGCTCCTAATTTGTGCTCAACACTTTGTCAATGCAGTGACATATGTAATATGTGTCCCTGCCTTGACGAAGCTTGAAATCTAATTAAAAAAATCAACCTAATGTTATACTATATAAACCCTAAGTACTATCAGTGTGGGAGAACCAGAAGTCAGGCAGCTTCAGATACATGGAAGGATTTTATTTGTTTTTGTGTTTGTTTTTTTTTTTTTTTTTTTTTTTTTT